CAGCAACCAAGAGATCCTTGTGGATCTGGGATGGATGTTTGTCTAAGGAGACAAATTTAAATCGACCTTAGCTAACAAAAGACTGTCTTAATCAATTGTACCCTTATGATTTACAACTCAAATAGTAGAAATCCATTAGAAAACATATGAGTTGCAGTCATGACTGTAATATAATGGTGTAATTTGATGACAAATACTCGATCAGAGTGCCCCAGTTGTAACTGTTATTTTATGGTGTCATTTGAAAGTAAAAGCACACGGACATATGACTCAGGTCACGTCTTTACTGACATGCAATCACGTTGATTGTTAATATAAGTTCACGCTTAATATGACATTAGCTCTTTATGAGTTGAAGACAGTAAAAAATTTGTCACCTATGAAAAACTATTGCAAAAGGTGGATGAGGTTAGCTTTAAGTCTTTTAAGTGATTAAATTTTAACTTTAATAATTTGATTTATGTGATTTAGGTTTTTAGGTAATTGATTTTATTTTCATTGTTCTGGTTTGCTACTTTGAGACTTTGATTTCAATTGATTTAAAAAATTGAGTTCTCACGTTGAAATATTCTAACAACTCTGCCATCATTAGGGTTTTGATTATTTGATTTGAACCCCGTCAATTTTACATCTTACTTGTAAAGGATCGAGTTTAGTATTGATGGATGATTGTATATGAACCTTGTCACCTCTGTTTTGCTTACAGAGGATCGTGTTCATATAGAATTTATTCAAATTTATTTTGAAATTTAATTTTGAAAAAAATCCCACCAGTTAAAATCTTCGATCTACGAGGCCATCATCAAGGGATTGTGTATCTTTGAACCGTGTCGACTCGATCCCATTTATAGAACATCGTGTTCAATTATTAAAATAATTGAATTTAAAATAGACTTTAAGACGTAAATTTAAAATAGATCTCTCTGATTGAAACACTCTATCAACTCGGTCATCATCGGGGAGTTAAGCATTTTAAACTTTTACATTTGAATGGTGCATTTAGTTTTGTTAGTTTAAACTTTTAGGGTATTAGTCATGTCGACTCTTGTTCTTACAAGAAAGAGAATCGGACTAGGTGATTTGAACTTCTATTTTTTTTTAAGGATTTGGACGTTTATTTTGAATTTACTGGACTCAACACTAATTCTTGCGAGGAAGAGGACGAACTAGTTAGGTGGGACTCACAATCTTATCATATAGACAAGCTTGCCCGATGAGCTTGTGCAACATTCTCACATAGAATTTGAGCATTCAATATAATGATTGGAGCACATGTGGGCATTAAGTTTCATGTATTTGATTATTTTTTACAATTGCATGTCTTAAGGTAATTTGCATAATTTTAAAGCATTAATTAAATCAATAATTGTTTTATAAACAAAACATATAAGACTTAAAATTATGTGAATTTATCATATTTTAATGAGTAGGTTGATTCATGCACATGTTCACTTCAGACTTGTTTTTTTAATACCACCATCTGTTCCCTCGCACATATGTTGCGAATCTGGTGGCAAAATTGAAATATCAATTCTTTATTTTAACATTTAAAAAGAATATTTATGTCTTAAACTTAGCACCAATTTATTATATTTCACATTTTAATTCAATTTGTCAACCCCTGAGCTTTGACCCAAGTAAGCTTCCAATGTAGATGCCACCATCTCAGTGGATCCAAACCCTTCCCCCACTTTCTCCCAGCCCTGCTGCTGGCATTATAGCTGCTCAAACCTTCCTCCACTAACTTCTTCCCTCGCTGCTGCCATTAGAAATCAGCAAGCTTGCTGTTTTTTTGCTCTTCCAGCCACCTGCTTTCCCCTTCCGAAACCTAGTTGACACCTACCACCCTGGATTCACCCCCATTTTAGTGTTGTGTGTCATTGTTTGTTGTAATTTAACTTTCCATTTGTCTGGTTGTAATTCCCTGTTTGAATTCAAGAATAATATTTTGTTTACTCGTTGTTTAATTAAACTCCGGTATCATTTGATATCAGAGCTACCCTAACCCTGTACCATCGGGGTTACCAAAATCCACCATAACCTAACCCAAAATTGACCTAAAAATACTTCCCCTTCCTAATTTTTCAAATCAGCCACCCAATTTTTTTCTTTTTCACCAGAAATCACCACTATACACCCTCTTCCACCTACTCAGACCTAAACCCTAGTCACGCCACTGAGGAAACAATCGTTGAAAACCTAAAAGGGAGAAAATAACACAATACAACTATGAAAAATATGTAACAAAAAATCCTCCAATTACAACAGAGACTTGCCGCCTTCGAGAGAAGACAATTTGGGAGGAGACAATCCAAAGGGTCACCCATAGCCACAATGGTGATTCGTAAAATAGAAAAGATGAAGTGACTCCCTTCCATAGAGCAGTTTCCAATGATAAAGACCAATATATCGGAGGTTAGAATGAGATATCACATAAGCCATAAATATTGAGTGCAGAGTGAATTGTCATATTTTGACGGTCACATGGACAAGTCAATGAGTGGAACCAGGCAGTTGAACGTGTCGTTGAGTACCAAGAGGTCCCACCAGATAGAATAATAAAGCTAGTCGCCATCAAAGTAAAGAAAAGTGCATTCTTGTGGTAGAAAAAATTGAACCAGAGGGAAAGGAAAAATAAAATTACTACCTTGTCCAAGTTAAAACAAGAGATGCAGCTCAAGTATCTACTAGTTCATTACAAACATGACATATGCTCAAGACAACATCATCGGATGATCACCACATTCGACAGACTAACCTCAACTCCAAAATCAAGCAGCAAGAATACACCCAAACGAACATCCATGTCGACCCTGCCTAAGGAGAAACTAATTCAGAATAGAGGCAGGTGAAACCAACTAGCATTCACAAATACGTCCTAGCCAGAAAGTGCGTCAAGTACTACGGTTTTAAACATAGTGCATTAATTTGCCCAAACAAAAGTATGATCAATTTCATTGAGCAGGGAGCAGTTGAAAAAATTGATAGTGATATCAGAGAGAATGAAGAAGTCGGAGAGAAGTCTCAACTTCTAGCAGACGAGGAACGATGTTGGTGTTTCAGGCTGAGCCCATGAGAGAAACTCCTGGTGGATTAATATTGGTTATGCTAGAAGATAGTGAGTCCAATGAGTACATACCTGAAAAGAGACAACACCTGTGGAATGAATTGTCAGGCATTATGATTGACAGTCTATCTATTGGATGGTTGTCATTGAAAGTGGTCTAACAAGCCACCGATCTCATTCCAGAGTTAGCTCCTCCAGATAAACTTTTTTATCAAATACGCCAGTCGAGTACGAAGAGTGGAAGGGGCAAAGTACATATTTAATGGCTCAAGAGTTATTTTGTGAGAATTTGCCTATATATGCAGCTCTAACTCAGGTTGTGTCAAAAATGATTAATACTTATTCTATCAGGATGTGCTTTGGAATGACACAGCCTGCAGGATTGACTTACTGGGATATTTCAACATTTCTACCACTTACAAAGTGGCTGACTTGATGTCGTATTATGAGGCAAAAGTTTCCACAAATGAGGTTAAAGCTCCCCCAACCTCTAATGCAAGCTGTCTAGCAGGTGCCATTGGCGCGAAAATCGCCACGTCTCCTGTTTTTGGATCGATTCCAGGCATAGGGAGGACCTACCGGTCCTTCCATGTAGGAAATTCCTTCCTATTGGAAGTGGGGTCCACTCATATTTACCCTAGAACTATTTATGTTGTTTTTTTCATTAGGGGAGTATTTGAATATTTTTGTTTAGGACAGTTGTCGGCGTCTCTAGTTATCCCTTCTAGGGATGTATCCAAGGATTTGGTTGCGTATCTTGTTCCCGAGGTGGTGATTATTCTTTCTTAAACCCTTCCACATCCTCCCACATCAATCTCGTGGCCCTCAAGTGTTGCAGCCACCCAGAACAATAATTTAGTTGATGTCTTTCCTGTCGTTTCCCAGCCTCACAGCCGCCAGCGCTCCTTCCAACCTTACTGCCACGCATCTCAGATGGTCCAAAAGAAACTTCTATGTTATGGATGCAAAGGGATGGTTTTTATAACCGTAGATCAACATGAAGTACCCCTTATGCACAAGGACCTACTTATAATTTACCCCCCAAAAAATACACAGCAAAAGAAAGTAAAAAAGGGATGGTCCATAAAAGTGGAGAAATTTTTCCTATGACATGGTTGGTTAGTTATCAGAAAAGAGTGCCCTAAACAATATTCCATAGCCATCTATTGTGCATATTAAGTAGTAATATACAAGACATGGATCTCTCAAAGCCTAATGATATTATTTCTTTTAGGCTTTGTTAAGCACTTAAGACCAAGAAATATATCGGTCCCGGGTGGGTTTCTTAATGGGAGATGTTAAGAACCTAAGCAAATAAATGATTAAGTTGGTTTGGTTATGAAAGATTCTCTACCTGCATCTAGTTCAATGCTTGAAAAGCTAATGATGTTCGTTCAAAGTTTGGATGAAACTTCACCAGTATAACAATCCGCATTGCATCCCCCAGTCCGTCGCCTAAGTTTAAAAAAATGCTTCGATTCCATTATGAGATCATTAAAGTCAAATGGATGCAGCAAAATTTGCTAAACATATAATGATTTGGATTATTTAGAGTTAGTGAAGGCTTTCAATGTGGGGTTTTTGGGGATTATGACAGTAGGGAATAAGGCACGTGGGGGAATAAAGTATCCTGCAGACCAAACAACTTTGGTCAAATCTAGAGGGCCGATTAAGGCAATCACAAGGATAAGCAAGTGCATATAGAACAAACAACAATATTTATACTCCAACAGGACGCATGAAAACAAGTGTCCAAAACTGCAAATTAGCTATTTATCAGTTTCAGCATAAAGACTGAAAGCTTATTGGCCTAAAAATGACCATCAGCAACCTGATGCAGTTGTGGCTCATCCTACTTCTGAGTAGAAATGATAATAAATTTGTGAAAAAGTAATATATAAGAAAAAGCACAATATAAAGTCTAAAAGTTTACCTCAATAGTCAGTGCTTTGTGAGCTTTCCAATCAACAATAGCACCAAATTTCGTCACCGCATCCTTAACCGATTCAAAAGGTGTTGTAGTGTCAACAAACCCTCTATTTTCAATCACTTTCTTTACATGTTCAGTAGAAACAGCTGATTCTGATGATTTTATTTGCATATTTTGGGCTTCTGTGTGACCTTGCAAATGATAACTGTTGGGCTTCAAAGGCGTTGTGTCTTTCATCCTACTACTCTCCTCAACATTAGACCTTTTATTGGTTTGAGCATCAGCAACTCCAGCAGAACTTATACCTTCAATTTGGCTGGATAAGGTTTCTTCCGTTCCCTTTGAGGCATCACCCCTAAGTGGGTCTGGGATACTCCCAGATTTCTCAGATGGCAAAGAAGCAGCTTTGCTACCAGCACTGGCAGTAGCATCATCATTGATTTGAACTTTGTTTGTCTGAACATCAGAAACGTCATTACAATATATGTCTTGACCTTTATGCGGCACAGCTTCCGCTGCTTTCAGAATTTTGATGACACCTGGAGATGAATACCACAAATAAACTCAGATGATAGTGCAGCAGAATCTACAATAGTTTAGACGGCACACTCACCATCTTGAGAGTCGCTTTGATCTTCGTGTTGAGCTGGAATATTGGCCAACTTTTGTGTTTGAATGTGTGATAGATCAGGTGATGAAGAACAATGAAATTCTAATGAAGAAGGTGGTTGTGTTTCCAAGGATAAGCCTATGCAACTTTGTTCAACTAATGCTTCTGAATGTCCAGTGGCTGCTTCTTGATGATGTTTAATTTCAGCCTTTCCATCAGACAGCAGAGGATTAGGAAGCGTCGACTCTTTGGGAGGACATTCTTCAGGAGAAAAAGTTGGTTCCGCAACAAGCAAGTTTTCAGAATTTTGAAAATCTGCCATAATACTTGATTTTTCCTTATTTAGTATGATTTAGCAGAACCCGGAGACTGCATAAAAGGTAACAGTTTAGTGAATTGTGGAAACCCTAAAATGAGATCATGTGAAGTACTTAAACTAAAAAGCAAACCCTTGGGCATAATCTGAAGGTGTACCAAAAACTAGTGCGGCAACAAATTTTGGGTGGTAGAGGTCTAGGTTTTAAATGATTGCAAGAAAAATGATGACTAGGGCAGCCAATAACTTGTACTAAATCCAAATTCTAATAGCACGAACACTTCAAAAAGAATTGTGTTTTTATCATATATGAACATGTCTCTAACACACCACAACATATCACTGACATATTAAGAAAATGTTCTTTTTCCAAAAATTAGAGTCAGGCACAGCTGGGACATGCATCAACATATCCAGGACAAAACTTCATATGTTGTGATATTGAACTGTCTTCTATTCTCGAGGAGTCAACTTTGCAAAGTATATTTTTTCTTGATAATTGTGAAGGTCTATTGAAAATGATATTAATTTTGGGATCTACTTTATTAGATTTATTTAATGATACAATGTGTTAATAGCTTGTGAGATTATTTAGAAAAATATATGTTAATATTTGATGATATTAATTGTGGGATCTACTTTATTCTTTTGCTCTGCAAAATTACTTTGCACAAGACCTAATCGCCAATGCACCAGCCCTCTAGGAGCTTTTACATGCACCTTTGGGCATCCCAGCACTATAAGCTCCACCAAACACCCTTGTGACATGTCTTTGAACGGGTTAATTTTCCTCCTGCATTTTATACTTATTTTTTATGATATTATATTTTAATTGAAGGTATTTTTATATTTTTTTTTTGTTGTGGGTATAATAGGTAACAATTGGAGTGAACTGGAGCAAAAATGGGGCAAAAAAGAGGCAATAGGAGCAGTGGAGCTTGGACCTGAACTGACGCCAAGGCGCCACTCCATGGGGCCAGCTTTTGGCACTTAGCAGCGGGACCTGTAGAGAATCCAGAGAATGTGGCGTCTAGGAGCCACATATTGGCGCATAGGCACCGGGTCAATTGTCCAGCCGACAGAGGGAATAGGCATTAAAAATTTACTCCTAGGACAATTTTCCAGCAATTTTTGACACGAAATGGTGGGATTTTCTTGGGGAATGCACATCAGAGACAAAGAGAAGAGATTAGAGCAGGCAAGAAAGAAGAGAGCACTGCAGGAAATTGAAGAAAAAGTGAGAGATTTTCTTTTCTTTCCTGTTTTTACTTTGAATTTTGTGAGAGGTGCAAGAAATTGTTGTGAGATTGCAAGGAGAACATTTTGGGGTGGAGCTTTTCTTCATTTCTTAGGGAAGAAGATAAGTTTCTTGTATTTTCATTGTCTTGTATTGAAGTAATTCATAGTACTTTGTTTTAATATAAGATGTTGTGCTTGATGGTTTTTTTCATGAAATCTTAGTAGATTCCTTATTTCCTTTTTTCATGAAATCTGAGAAGATTCCTTATTTCCTTCCTTTTGTGATGAAATAGCAGCATATGTAGGGAGTAAATTTAGTTGGAATCATGTTAATTTAGTAATTGTGATGGTTTTTCATGTGAACTTCATTTGCATTTCAATTTGGCCAGTTGTAGAATTAAAATTCATTGTGAACCTATAAGATCTAGGAGGGCTATGGCTTCATTCAACTTGTGAAAACCACACTAATTTATAGGGTGAATGAAAAGTAGTCCTTAGGTTAGTGCAAATAGATAGGGAGATGATATTAATGGGGATAACTAAAAGGTTTCTAGAGTGACAGGCATAATCAATACCTAAGTTATCCTAGTTTCTTTATGCACTTGGAAAAAAGGTAAAGAAAATGCATGCTCCTATTTGTCACAAATTTTAATAAGAGATTCTAGTTGATTTACACCTACAATAGCAACTAGTTTCATTACAAGGGGAGGGAACCTCTAATTAGCTTGAACTTTCTACTTCATTTAGCCTAGTGTATTTAGTTTATTAGTAAACTTAGAACAATAGAAATAGTTTAGTAGAATTCCCTAGCTCACTAAAACTCAAACCTATTTCTAGCTAAGAATTTTTAAATTCAATTAGAGCTTTTTTAAGTCGTTACAATAGACAGTCTTTCCCGTGGGATCGAAATTTGCGACAAAAGAAAGTTCTATATTACTTGAACGATATGTGCACTTGTGTTGTTACCTAGTGTGTTGTGATTAGCAGTGATAAATCTCTGGTGATAAATTTATAAAATATATTTTAAAATTATAATATATAAACCCTAAATCACTAGTCCTATTGTTGAGAATGTAGCTAGTTCACCTTGCCACAGCCTATTGCAGTTCAAAAGATTTAGATGCACTTTTTTGTAAATTAAAATGTTTAGAAATGGGTTTTAGTAAATGGAAATTTTCTATCACAAGTAGCATACACAACGTACAATGGTAATTTTGAAAAGGCTAAAATAATCTGTTTTTTTAAGGATTTAACATAATGAGAAATTAAATTCGTTAAAGCTATACAGAATAAGAGAATTCAGCAGTTAACGTAAATAAGTAAAAGTTTGCAATGCATGAGTGAGATTATCCCCTCTTCGATTTAACAAGTGTTGCCCAGTTGCTTGTCGACTAACACAATACAACACTTCTCCAAATAACAATTTGAAAAAAATAATTTTTTTTTGTCAAACTGAGAATGCATCCAATACTAATATGGATGCACCATTGTATCAATAAAAATAAACATCATATTAAATTTCACTTCTTGTTGTTCGTGTCAGCGTCAGCAAGCATATGCTCCATATTTGCAACAAAAATTATAACGTTACCCGTGTTTTGGTGCCCTTAACATATTTTGTATAGATGAGTAGTTCAACTATGCATGTTTGGTATGGATCTAACAACCTTCTCATGTACTGACAATTCTAAATTTTATTATGAAGCGTGCAGAAAAATGTTACAAGAATACCTCATAAGCAACGGAAACAGCAGATATTCTGGTTCAAGTAGCTTAAATTGGATGCAAGTTTCTCAACCAAAAACAAATGCAATAAATCTCAGGGTTTCATCCCTTCCTATCAATCTTGCAAAAGAAAAGTTTTCTTAGTACTTTCTTCCAAAACTTCATTCTCTTAGTAGTTCCTCCGATGAATTAGGAAATCTATCACATCATAAGATTATCTCAGATAGTTTGCTTTCTAGCAAAATTGTGCTCAAACATAACCCACTTCCTTGGAATTTCTATACCCCTAAACCAATAAATTCTAAGTAGCATAATTCCAAATAGAATTGCTTAGTAAATATGACCAGGAGCAACACAGAAAAAAAATGAAGTGATGAAGAGCAAATACCTGATGAATACTCAGGGCTGTTTACTATCTTATTTTAGGCAGAAATTAAGCAATATCTAGCTTAAATCCAGCAAAAAAAAAAAAAAAAAAGGGAAATCAATTATATTTGATGAATCTCATTTCCTCCCTATTATTGATTAAATTTGGGATTTGTAAATCCTATTATTCACAGTATGTAAAGGATATAAGCATTCTATCTTATCTAAATCTTAAATCTTGAAATAAAAAGTCAAACGATTTATTAGGATTTAGTGTGATTCATCAAGCATGGTTTAAAAAAAAACCAAACCAGTTACATGAATTACCCACCAACCAACCCCAAAAAAACTCCAAACTTAACAAAAGTGGCCACCTCCAAAGTTTTTTAAGTACAAGTAGATCAATTAGCTAAAACTTTCAATCACCGAAATAAAAAACCATGCTGCAAACTAGGTTCAACTGGACAACCAAAAGTTCCAAGCCTCATAAACAACACTATTTTTTAACATAAATTTCATCGATCCTAGTTCGCCAATAAGTAGAGAAACTCTCACAAATCACCATTTAAAAACCCCTTTAAGTGCGCAAACCAATCAATATCCCTAAATTCAGCGAACATCACAAGCTCGATGTCAAAACAGTCAACCCAAAATAACTACACAGCCACATCACAAATCCACGCATCCCTTAACAATAATCTTAGCGTTTCCTCCCAATATCAACGCCAAAATTACATGACCCAAAACTAACACTTCATCTCTGACTCCAAACCTAACTATCAACAAAGTCAAGAGAATGGAAACGCCGTGCGATAAGGCAGAAAAGCTTTTTTCGAGCTAAAAAACATACGATGAGCGGAGCCAGAAAACAATGATGAAATAGATCAACAGAAACACTTCACTTTCTTCCGATTGGAAACGAAAGCAAAATCGAGAAGCCCCTAACCTTCGCAACCCGACGTTGAACGAAAACAAGCCAGAAGTAAGAAGAAGAACAGGCTGAAATCATCTGTTGAAGCAGAATCAATCACAAGCTAGTCCATATAAAGCTTCTTCTCCCTCTCTGCCGACCCTCCTTCGCTTGCAGTCTTACAGATCGTCAATCCCCAAGACTTTTTTCTAATTTATTTTATTTTATTTTCATGTGAGAATTTATCATTTTATACTTTTTTACAGAGCAAAGTTGGTGTAGAATTTCTCCTCAAAATTTTTCACGCTGACATAAATATCTCTCTTAATTATTGTTGTGCTTTAAAATTCGGAATAAAAAGTGTAGTGGTTTGCCGACCTCCATGAGCTGGGGGCAGTTGAAGCTGGGATTTGCCAGCCGGGTCGACCGCATAAAAATTTCATGCGAGTTTCGGTTTTAAGCAAGTCAAATTACATGATTATGAATAATACTTTCTAATGACTATAGCATCATTCATATAACAAGCAATAAAATATTATTAACTCATGCTCATCTTAATCATAGAAATTTCTCTCTCTCTCTCTCTCTCTCTCTCTCTCTCTCTCTCTCTCTCTCTCTCTCTCTCTCTCTCTCTCTCTCTCTCTCTCTCTCTCTCTCTCTCTCTCTCTCCCTCTCTCTCGCTCTCTCACACACACACACACAACTTTTGGGGCCAATCATTCTTTCATTCTAATTTTATATCAAGCTCCTAACTTATAAGTCAATATTTGATTGATTTGCCGGTCTTTTATAGCTCGCATAATTTGCTAAACCTGTTAGCATGATTCATTTTCATCCATTGGCATGAATCATTTTCATGGCCACTTAGAAATCTGTCAGCATGTATATTATTAATTGGCACTAGGTTGTCTGTCATTCTCTTCCTGGCTTATCATCACACTTTTCATTAACGCATACTTAATTTATCAATGCACATGGCTTGTAAACCAATGTATCAACGTGATGGCATTCGTCTATCATAATGTGTCATTTTTCAATCTAATAATAATTATTGACTTGTTGCTAGCCTTTTTGACCCAATTGACTCGTTCACTTACTAGTCGACCTTGCCATTACAATGATGTGGATGTCTTTTCCTGAACATATCAATGGGCAGGAGGATCAAATTTTCTCATATATGTTTATTAATTTGGCACATTTTTTTATTCCTTTCTATGACTCCCAATCTCAGCTTTGTCTTTACGATGATGTAGGTGTCTTTCCTTGAACATCTCAATAGATGAGATGGCTAAATTCTCTGTTATTTATTTAATCAACATCTTTCTTATTGATTCATGTTGCAAATCTCAATCTCGTTATCTCTCTCATCACTGTCCTTCAATCTGCAGCCTAATGTTTTGTATCTCATTAAACCAACAACTATCTTCGTTCAGTATCATTTTTGCTTCCATATAACCCAAAATCAAATATGAAAAAGCCTCATTTCAACTTACCAATTTCAACACATAGTTGTTAAAACCTATCCCTTTATGTATCTATGTCAACCTTAAATGCAACCTTTTTTTTCACATAGCAAGTGACGTTATTATTTTTTCCTTTTCCTTTTAACAAACCTAGCATTTTATTAGGTCTATACTACCTATCCCTTTATGTATCTATGTCAACCTTAAATGCAACCTTTTTTTTCACATAGCAAGTGACGTTATTATTTTTTCTTTTTCCCTTTAACACGCCTAGCATTTTATTAGGTCTTTACTTCTAGTTCTTGAGAGCTTCATGCTATTTTAGTCATTGGCTTCTCTTAGATTATAATATTTATATATTCTTCTATTACTCTACAATCCAACCTTCTTTGTAATGTTGTCTTCTGAGCTTTCAACATAGTTTCACATTCATCATCATGTCTCATGCTTACATGGGGTTTTAATCGAGTCAAGAATATCATGGATTAGACTTAGCTGGGCTTTATATTATTTTGTTCAACTGTAGCACAGGCTTAATCCAAGCTTTCATATAGATGTTAATAATTAGCTAAATTAAATTTATTTTTGATCAAGCTTAGCTTTTACTTAGTTAATCTAAATTAATTAAATGTGCACTTAAATAAGCCAATAAATAAGGACATACAAGAGAAAGTATTACATGAACCATCATACAACTATCATATAAACCAACTATTTTACATATTCAAAACAATGTGAAATTCAATAAATTCAGAGCTATTAAATAAATATTTGATATTAATTAAATAATAATAATATCATGGACATACTTTTTTTAAATCATAAAAAAAAATTGTACTAGCATGCTTGTTTATTTAATCAAATTAATGAATAAATGTGATTTGCATATCATAAGAAAAAAAAAAATCCAACTAAGAGGATCTCTTAACATAACAAACCTTAATTTTTATGGTATTTGTTTCAGTTGAAAAAAAGGGAAACACATAACTATAATGAACATGGTGTGAGATGAAGTAGTTATAGTAAAATTATTGAAGATGCGGGTTATGTCTAAATAATTTAATTAAAAAAGGTCATAAAAATTTCAAATTGTGATTATTTATTATGTATGATGATACTTCAGTTACATGTAAGCTGAAAAGGAGATGTGTTTACCTCTAATTCTCATAAATAAGTGCATTAACTGTTCTATGAGTATGTTAGAGAAGATGTATTTAAAGCTACATGGTGCTCACAAATCATGTTCACTAACACATTCACTACAAATAAATTGAGAAGGAGAATATGCATTCATCTACAAAGGCCTTGATTCTTATTGTGAACTTAATGTGCATATGCAAGAGCAACACTTGTGACCTAGGGAGACTACAATGTAGAAATTGAAAGTAATAAAAAAAAAGATATATGATGAATAAAAAATAGAGATAAAAAATAAATCGGTCTGGTGGCTAGTTTCAATAAGTTGTTTGTTAAACAATAAAATGTTATTCATAATATAAATAAAGAGTTTATCAAATGGAGGTATCAAGAGACTCGTATCAAAGGGCATAGTCTATGGAAACCCCAAGAAAAAATGATAAGTTCGATTTGAAGCTCAATGCAATAACCATTCAATGTTGATGAGAAAGCATATAGAAAGCTTGGTGGCTTGAAGGTCCTCAACTCCTACTGAACCAATGAGGATTTTATCTATATATACTCATAATGATATTGTATGATTAGGGTTTAGGGTTTATGATGAACATCACTTATATTACCATACATAATAAATAATTTATATAAACTATTACTATTATGCACAATATCCTAAATGACACACAAAACGAAAATAATATATTTTGCTCATCATTTGTATTTGATGTATGATACTTATAGAGATAGAATATATATTTAATCATTTTGTACATATTAATTATCCAAATAAAATGTTAACTAGCATAATATCTATTACTTTGGTCTTAATTTGAAATGAATCCAAGATATTTATAAATGGGTTCTAACATATATATAATATATATATATACTATCATGATAAAATAATTACTATAATGCATATTTTTTTATGTATATTGAATATAGTCACAGATTTTGCATGACCTACTAGATTGTCTACTCATCCTTAGTGTATAATATATTTTTAGAAAAAAGTAAAACTCTAATAGAAAAATGTTATAAACATTGGTGATAGAGATGTGTTTTGTTGATATAAACAAACTTTTTGCAATTATAAAGTAATTATGTTTTACTAAAATTATAGGTGTGAAATTGTTATTTATATAAATATTTGAAATATCTTGACAAATATAAATATAAGTTGGATAATGACATGACTTTATGTAAAAGCATTAAGTAGTGAAATTTATGATAATACCAAAAATTTCAAATACATAGTAGGTAGAATCTTTTTGCATACTCAATACGACATGATCTATTGTGACAGGTTTATTGACCAACTACCTCAACTAATGTGTATGCTTCCAATGCATGTCAATCTACTAACTTTGATCGGCTAACAAACATACACCCAATAGCCATTGCCTAAAATCTAACAATTTGTGTTTATGCACATTATATGTGTATTGCTTATTGCTTATCACAAGAGTGTGTCATTTAACTCAATCACTTATTGCCTATGGACTTGACACTAACTTTAACCACACTTATTAGCATTGAACATGTTATATGTTATAATATTTCATTTTTTTGCTTAATTTGGACCATCCAATAAGAATGATTATTTAAATACTCATATCCAACATTGAAACATCAAAACAAGGACAAAACTCATTCTATTTTTCTCTACTCAACTCATATTAATATGACTGGTCCAATTGAATCATTGTGATCCCATTTGACCCTTTGTCATTTTTAACTAAACATATCATCAAAACTAGCTCGTCTTGGAGGTCAAAATAAACCCAACCAACACTCATTTGCTTGAGTAAGTGTTATATTGGGCGACTAAGTATGACCCACCATAAGAGTGCGTTAAAACTATAGTCCTTCTACAATGACATAAAAAGATGCATAAAAAAACAAGATATTATTAATAACTAAATACACTTTGAAAGTATGTCATATATAATGAAACAAAAAGACAATTTAGGATGCCCATATAAAAGAATGATAATGGTTATAAATAAGTTTGAATTCTTTACTTCAATCTTCTAAATTTTTTCTTATTTATAAGATAGAGTGCATCTTGCATGTCATACATAATCTAGTGTGCATCTTGCATGTGCATTAGTGTTGATTGTATGACTTTGCATTAGCACATCCACCAATTGCACCCTTGTTGTGCATCCTCAGACATATGCCCCCATATGTTCATGACGAGCACTTGTGCCTCCCAACGACACATCACTCTATATATGTTTCATGACATCTTCAGGTCACTTAGCACCACATCACAAGTGGTTCACACTTACACTTGAGCAGTTCTGCATATTTGGCTTGCATGGCATTTTGCATGTTCTTGACTCGCATTCTTGAGTTTGTTTGCTCTCAAATTTGTGTTTCTCGTGCACTTATCCCTCGCATTCACACATCATGTGAACGGGTGGCTCGTCACTGAGTCAATTCGTTGGGTAACTCTCTCAAACGGGAATTATATCCCTACCTTCCTACGACAGCACTTCAAACTGTCGTGGACGCACCCTTTCAGGTCACTTCCTCAACGACACACTCATTTTTCGGGTTGCAGCCTCCACGACACGCACACCCTTTTAGGTTACAGCCTC